CGTTTTTATTAGGAAAAAACGCAGAAGTTGATCGAGTATAAAACCCCGTGCAGCACACTAAGTTCCAGAGAGTCTGGAGGGAAAGAGAACTGCAGAACCCGGTTTATACTGAGGGCTGGACTTGTCATTCTTACATCAAAGATTTCTCCTACGACTCTCACTGAAACCATGATGGCAAATGTCACAAATCATGGATGCAACGTGGAAGATCAGCAGCAACAAAGGATGTCATCAATTTACTGTAATTATCTACTGGATAATTACCACAGCTGCACCCAAAAACGTGATGCAATATGAATTGCATCAACTCAGTCTTAGATTTCATTTTATTTCAGCATTTAAGCATTTAAGCAACTTACTTTTCTTCTGAAAACTGCTACACGACTTTTCACTTTATTAGGTTCATCTGATGAATAGTTTTGTGCAGTTTTAATGATCTGGGGAGCAATTTGAAACCTGGGTTTCTACTTTCAGACGTGATCTGCATGGCAAAATGTCAGAGAGCAGGAAGAAAAAGGTGATGGAAGTACTAATTCTGCTCCGATGTCGTCCCTTCAAAGTGCACGTTGCTCCCCATTATGAGTCAGAAATGTTGCTCTGCTCAAACTCTGCTCTTTCTTCCTTAGAAGGAGACTCGCCCGTCTGTGTTTATAGCATTCTGTGATGGGAGAGTTTATTTTAACTTCACTCAGGACTTAATTTGGAATCCTTGTTCACATTGTTAACAGAAAGAGGCGAACTTAGCCAGAGGTCTCCTCTGCTGTGTGTCTCATTAAATCAAACTCAATGGTCAAAGGCTGCCTTTAATTTGGTGGAGTACGAACAGTGTGCTCGCCCGATTTAAGACAAACATTTGCTTCTGATTAGTGCAGCGCTGATGCTATCGCCGCCGATGTTTGGGTGTTCACCTCGTACAAGCGTGAGCCATGTTGTGTTGAGGCTTTTTTTTTTCCAGAAGCTGAATGACTGGAAAGAACCTGGAGGTCCGGAGGACAGAACGCCGGTTTCCTAAATGCGTAGGACCGGACGCAGCGTAAACGGACCCCGTGCGTTGTGTTTTTCCTTCCTGGTGACCACATCAGTGGCTGAGCGGTGGCCGGCCATGAATGGCACATTTACAGACCGCTGACTGGGACCTCTGTTGTGCCTCACATGTGGTCTGTGACCCTCATTTCAAACAGAAAACAGGAGGCGTGAACCGTTTGACCCGGCCCATTTCTGCAGGGTGGCTAAAAGTGAGGCAATGGGGCGAGTCCAGGCGCGTAGAGAAGAAAACCATTCAGTGACGGTCGGAGTCGCGGCTGCCTTCCGCTGTCTGACGCTCAGCTCCTGAGTTACAAAGCAAACTTTAAAGTCAAACCTTCCACCAAAACCGATGTGGTTCTGTTGCAACAGAATGTCCTCGGCAGTTTGTAAAAGCCCAAGTTTATGTCTATATATGTCTTTGCAATTTGCAATTTTTTGCATGAAAAATTCTTGCAATAGTTTTTTGTTTATTTCAAGATAATTGCAGATTAATCAGACAAATCAATTAGGCGACTAAGTGATGCTTTTGTTTTGTATAATGAATGTAAAGCTTACAAAAACCTAAACATTAACCTCCAGGTTTTCAGTTAATATTACATATTAAACTAGAAATTTGACTTATCCGATGCTGCAATTAGAAACGGTTCCTCTTAATTTAACTTTGTGCATCCTCTTTTTATTCAAACATGTTTGTGCTCAAACTTTGGGGCATTTTCTCACTTGAAGAACTCAGTAGATAACGTGGACGATTAGTTCCACTAATGTTTTTTCATGACACTGTGCTCATTTTCTCGATTATGTCCTCTCCCCTCATATCAGTTTAGATAATCAAAATCAAGAAGTCATCCATGCAATGCAGCTCTTGGATAATCTTACACATCTCTAAAACAACACTACCTGGCAAATGCCTGTTTACGTGTGTCGTCCTGTCGCCGCTTCACCCTCAGAAAGAAACATAAAGTGACATTAGAAGCCATCGATCTCTGTCTAGCGTGTGCCGGGACGCCTTGTGTTTTCCTCATTCTCAGAGGTGAAAGCTGACAGTTCTGGTCTTCACCGACGCTGCCTTCCAAAGACGGGACACCGGAGCAGAATGATGGAATTACTTGGTCAGTAAACCTGTTACCTGATGTATTATGCATTTCAACATGCATAATACATCATATGCTAATTCCAACCTCAGTACTCGGGTACATAAAGTGGATGAATTACACAAAGTGAGATTCACACATTTACACAGAAGTTATGAAATTATGATTTACTGTGAAAACAGGTTGAAATTACTGGACATCAACATGCTAAATATATTCATACTTCCTTTATAGGTAAATTTGCATTTCATTAATCACAATATTTCCTTTGGGTTGTTATTTTCTATGAATGTGTTTTACATTAAATCTAAGACATTATCTATAAAAAAAGTGCATTTCAGCGTTGTTGGCTGGAAGGTTATGAAAGCTAAAGAGTTCATAAATGATAATAAAAGGGGATTCAGTTTTATGCTATAAAAATGCTGTTTAATGTTATTTGTCTGTTATCTGGTGGGAAGGGAAACACTCCTTCATTGGGCTGCTGAACAGCAGGACCTGCGTTTATTCATTCTGCTTCAATGCTCTGGTTTAGAGTTCAAACATATTTAGTTTCACAATTTTTATATTCCCTGGAATTTTATTTAAGACTTTTATTTCTGCCCTTGAGAACGAAGAAATATCCTCCCGAAGACCGAAAAAAACAACAGGCTTCATTCCCCTTGAATTCTTACTCAGAGACCCTGTGTTGTTCCTGCAGGGTTTTGCATAACTCACCAATCAACCGGATGAAACGTGTGTCCGTGACCTTTGAGCTCGCTTTCTATTAAAGATGCTTCTCCCTTTCAGGCCGTCGGCGGGGTCGGAGGTCACTGAGTAATAGCGTCAGCTGGGACGGAGCTTGTCGGAGCTCATCGGTCCCGTTGCCTCGGCGATGTCGACAGTCACCACGCCGTGTGTATTGTAGGAGTTACGCTATGACGCTCAAGACTGGAGATGAAGACTGTTGATAGTTACAATAGAATTGAAACTTTGAACTTTCTACTAGTTTCAATACATCCAGCTGTAGTGCTGCACTCTTCTTGTGGTTTACCAGTAGGTGAAACTTCTGTATACTGTACGCTTTCGTATGTGATTTACTGCAGGATGTTTGGTGTGCTGTGCATTTTAGAGTATTCCGAGTAATCTTGGTGTGGTCACAGAGTGGTTGGACCTTAGACGTAATGAGGAGATGAAGGCTGCAATAAGAGACATCTGTCAAAGGCTGCAGCGCACAGTATATTTAACGTGGAGGGCTCCTCTGCATGGCTGCGTAAATGACTTCCTGACCCATTATTTACTGTACACTCAAGTCAAGGACCATGTATTTCAAACAACAGCAGCCGGTTACCCAAAAGACACCATTGCAGCCTCCCTATATTTATAAAAACATAACGTGCACCCGTGAGTCTGGCCTTTCCCTCCATGTACTGTGGACCAATTTGGGATGGCGGAGATGTCACCTGGATGGGACTGTTCTATTTTCTCCATCAGTCACTGCTCCAAGACACAGCACTGTCATGAACAACCTCACGCTGCGATCGATTCGCAGGCCGCGCGTCCCAATGTATAGCGCGTAGCCGGTTACAGGAGATGGATGGTTGCAAAGGTGAAGGCTGTGTAAAGGCTGCAGTGAATCTTCCAACATTTCCCGCTTGTAAAGACAACTATGTGACTTGAAAGAAAGCAGGACGGGACTTTAATAAATCCTTACTTCTCAAATAGACACATGACTTTGACCCAGAGTGCTGTTTGTGTGAAACCAGAAGCAAATGTTAAACACTTTCTGTAGCTATCATTCATTTTGCCTGCAGAGTCTCTTGGAATATTCATGGGGAAACATTTTCATGAGCAGCAGAATTTCTAACTTTTGTCGCACTCTGTGTGCAGTTTAAATAATGCATTCGTTCATGTCTGCAAAGTGAGAGCCAATTATAAAGGAACCAGGTGATACAAAAAAAACACGATTGCAAACACACCTCTCCTTGCATTGAGGAGGAAATGTCAGGGACAACACTTACACCCATGAACACTGCGTTCAGAAGGATTTCATTTTTTTCTCAAATGATGCGTATTGAAGTGCGGGAGGCTCCGTCTTTCAAGCTAGTTGTATATGCAGAGGAAAGGTCAACCTGGTGATTTATTAGAGGTCAGCCCGGTGATTTGATTTTTTTGTGGGGGGAGATGTTGGAGTGTTGTTGGGATGAGTCATGCGAAGAGGAAGCTTCCAGTGACGGTGCTTGTTGCATTTGTAGCGAGAAAAGTTTCTATCCACCCTTCTTTGCCTTTGTGCCTTTGCCTTCTTTGGATTGTGAACCGCACAAACTGCCCACGATGTGTCACATCTTATGCCCGAGCAGTGAAGTTTCCCCCCCCAAAAGAAACACTGCACCGACGGAGGAAGGCAGTCATGGTTAATATTACAAAAACCACACAGGGAGCCGGAGGGTTTAGGCGGCAGCATCTGGCGTCGCCGCACACGCCTGCCAGGTCGCACATTAGATGGGAATAATCGGCCAGGACGGGCAGCGGGAGACGGACAAATGAGGAGCTCCTCCTGCGTGACCTGATGGCCTGACGCTGGTCAGCGTCCAGTAAGGAAACCAGCAGAAATAACAAAAACACGTATCAGATTGAATGTGCTACCTCGTCCGGTTTTCAAGTCGTTGCTTTTAATGTTAGGCAGAATTTTGTAAACTGAAGACGGAAATGAAAAAGGTTACTTTCCATTAGTGAGCGCATTGTGATAAATGAGCAGAATGCTGATGTTTATCTGTGCGACTAAATATCATATGGGAGTGAACCTACAACCAATATTACGTCGCTTAATGACTGTAATATAATTATTGTATCATTTCAAGGACGCCAAACACCAAATACAACCATCACATTACTCTAGTACTCCGCTGAGTTTAAGTACTGTACCAATTAAAAATGGAAGCATTTATTTTTGATGTCCAGTACAATGATACACACAAACAGTTATTGCAAAGGAAGAGATAAATAACGTTGGCATACAAAGAAATGATAAAACATCCATGACTTAACGGCAGTGTAAAATAACTAGGATAGAAAACTGGAGGCGTATAACAAAGAAGAGGATCGGACCTACGTTTCCCTTTTCATTAAACAAATAAATATTGGCTATAAACACAGCGAGAACTGCTTGACTTTAGGCTTTTTCCTGAAGAGATTTGACATATAACGACTGGTTGTGATGGCCGACATCCAACTGATTGTACGTGTGCACCTTTTTATCTTCTCTTTGAGAATCTTTGGTAGAAAACGCGTTACGGTACAGAAGGAAAATGTAGATGAAATATTCACACATGACACAATCTCACTAGCAAGACATTTCAGCATTAACGTGGCTGCAGATTCTGTAATGACACAAGAGGGGAGCAAAGGAAAGCTGCTGATGAAAAAGCTCCTTTCTGCGCCTTTCGTGGTAATATTAGAGGAGCAGAGGGAGAACGTCACCTGGAGCCTTTCAAAGTAACAAAGTACTTGAACGAAGAGGCTCCCATTTGCAGACCTCACCGGCTTAACGGAGAGGCACAAGTACCTTTCTGGGAGGGAAATAGTCTTCAGAGCACATGGGTCATAGTCCAGATCTGCTCCAGTTCTTTTCTGTCTTTCCAAAATGCTCTGTGAGAACACTGTTCCTATCCACACCATTCAGAAGATTGATTAGATCCCAGTCTGTTCTGCTTCATCCAATTCAATTAGGACAACAGGATAACGGGGCAATCGACTTTGCCTCCGAAGTGGACGAGACACTAGAACGCCGCAGCAGCGGTCAGACGTTCATTTCTCACATCCTGTGTGATTCCAGCGGCAGGTCTCAGGCTTGTCTGAGGTCAGTCCGAGTCATCTTTGCACACACAGGCACACTCCTCGTGATGCTCCAAGGGCACATCAGTCATGGTCTTCTGCAAGCTTCTGCCACCACTTCGGTGTTTCAGCTGCAAAACCTGCGAGCGGGAAGGAGGCCTTTGTTTACAGCGGAACCTTTGTCCAAAACGTCATGTAAATCATGCTGAGAAAGTGTCCCAGAAAGTAGTTTCAAGGAGTTTACCGAAGGCCTAAAAGGACGTGATTGACGCCCTGCCCAAAAAGGTCTTGGGTCTAATTTCTAAGGGGGGACATTTACCACATGAACATAGTAAACCATTGGAACTGCTGCTGCTGCTGGTTTATATCCTAATTTAAAATGAAATGTTTGTTTATTTATCCAAAGTCCATACTGATTACCGATATTTACCTCATGGTACTTCTTGGTCACCCTGCTGGGAACGCACTGGCAGTCGTAGCAGCGGTGAGAGCAGCAGGCGCAGTTTCCACCGCAGCGTTTCACCAGGAGGCAGCTCGGCCAGAAAATGGCATCGGTCCTCTTCAGCTCCTCACGCAAGGACACGGAGAAGTTGCGTGGAGTGCAGCTGTACAGCTGGACTTCCTCCCTCAGCAGGTTGAGATCAGCTCCTCCTCAAAAACACACAGCAACGCCACGATTAGGATCAATTTCTAATGAAACGAATGTTGCCGTTTTATTTATCTCTCAGATCTTAACTCTCATATTGTTTTCTATATGATATTTGCAGGTTTAAAAGTACCCTACCTCTTGCTTTCTTATTGTGGATGAAGGATTTTCCCAGCAAATGCCACGTAGGCTTGTACAACTCCTCCATATCCAGTTGCCATCGCTCGGGCTCCAGGTACTTCATGACCTCCTCCACGGTGCCCAGGCTCGCCACAGCCTCCGACACCTCCTCCAGGCCCTGCTGGGACTGGGGGGGAACTGCAGGCACTTTGATTTCCGATACGCTCTGCGGAAAAACAGCAGATGGGATGAAGACAGATGGGAATTTATTCAGTATACACAGTATTTATCTGTATAGTTTCAACAGGTAAATGTTTCACTTCATATGCTCTTTCTGTATGGGCCTGTTCACTGGGAAGGTCTTCTTGAGCTGTGGTTTGGTTATGAGTTGAGATGTGAAGAGTTGAGAAGCGAACACTTTGCACCTTAAATCTCCGACGAGTCCCAGATTGATTCAACAGTTTGAACTATATTCAAACTGTTGAATCAAATTCCCATGGATGACATCATTCGTTTCAAGCTCCAAACCCCGCCGGCTACAGCGTGCAGTCGCAGAGAAGATTGATACCTGCGCTGTCAATCCTTCAACGCTTTAATGTTTGTCCAACGTGTCAGCTCGCTGGTCCCTCTTATCTTCTGTGACTGGCAGGTAGAAGGCACCATTGTGACACTTACTGAGTGAAAGGAGCTTGTGGAGTATTGGAAATGGCGGCGGCTGGCAGCTTCGTATGGGGCGCCGTTTGTAAAATGTTGCACGTTCCAAAATCCTGTGCAGTTTTTCCACATTTAGCATTATCATATGAACAAAAAAGCATGACAATATTCACATGTCACTTTTTCAAACATTTATATATAAATGTTAAATGTTATATCTAAATGTAAATGTTAAATGTTATATCTAAATGTTAAATCTAAATTTAAATCTAAATGTAAATATTAAATGTTATATCTAAATGTTAAATGTAAATCTAAATCCCCCATCCCATCCCCCACAGCTCCACCAACCTGCCGCAGTCCCCCTCCCCTCCCTCCCCCAGCCCATCAGGTGCTCACGCCTCTTCATCATTATCACCTTCCCCTCCCCCACCAGCAACGACCCTCTCTATTCTGGAGAGAGACGTTAACCGGCTCTTTAGAAGACTAAATCCCCGTAAGGCAGCCGGTCCGGACTCCGTCTCCCCTCACTCCCTGAAGCATTGTGCTGACCAGCTGTCTCCGGTGTTCACTGACATCTTCAACACCTCCCTGAAGACATGCCACGTACCAGCCTGCTTCAAGGCCTCCACCATCATCCCTGTCCCCAAGAAGCCCAGGATCACAGGACTCAATGACTACAGGCCCGTCGCCCTGACCTCTGTAGTCATGAAGTCTTTTGAACGGCTAGTCCTGTCCCACCTGAAGTCCCTCACCGACCCCCTCCTGGACCCCCTGCAGTTCGCCTACAGAGCCAACAGGTCTGTGGACGATGCTGTCAACATGGCCCTCCACTACATCCTCCAGCATCTGGACTCCCCAGGAACCTACGCCAGGATCCTGTTTGTGGACTTCAACTCTGCTTTTAACACTATC